GCCATCACCTGTGTGTTGCTTCATATGTCTTAATGCATGCACTTTAGCCAGTAGGTAATGTATCAAAAGTGAGCTCTTTTTTCATCCTTTATTACTAGAAACCTTTGCCAGTCTCACTTGATCCATCCCACTAGCCCTGCTTCTTGGTAGAGGATTGTCTTGGTGTCCATCTTGTGGACAAAGTTTATTTGACAGAGGGAATATTTCTTTCTGTGTCAAGCAGCAACATTTCTTTGATTTGTTTCCTCCTTTAAGGAACCTATCCTGTTAGAGAGAAACCAGCTCTTGGACCTGACAATGGGCAAATAACTCAAAACACAAGAATGCACAGGATGTTTACCCAATTTCTTTACATAGATTCAGAATTCTTCTGAATATAGAGTTACTTTCCAGTAATAATTAGTGAACTGGAAAGTAAGGTTTAGTTACTGGCTTTTAGAGAGCAAAGCATGATGGACTGATACGTGCTGACTTCTGTGAACAGACATCAGTTCATTCAAAGGAGCAGGAAAAAATTTTCTACTACTAAAGGAAAGTTTTGGTAGTTTTGAAGTAAGCACCTGCATGACTTCTGTTTCCTTGGATCTAGGATAGTCCTCTACCTAGACAGATTAAATTATTTTATTTTGCTTTCTTAAAGCTAATTGTGTTGTACAGATCATCAGCGAGCTGCTGCTAGAGACCAATTAACATTCTGTGACTTGTGTTCAAGTTTTGTGTTTCGTTTTCTCTCAGACTTCCGCTTTCAGCAGAAAGAGTGGTTCCAGCTTTCTATTTTTATTGAGTGGGGAAACATGCACATCCTCCAAGGAGAAATAATGGAAGAATAGAACTGGCAGTGGGATGCTAAGCAGGCATGCTCCTTTATCCAGCAGTAAGACATTATTAAAGCGTCACACTGAAAACAAACAAAAAACCTCTAAGCTCGTGTGCTGAAAAGTAATTGGGATTTTTTTAGAAATACTGATTAAATTCAAACATAATAAGAATTCACTGTGAACTCAATGTACAGGAGCTGAAATTTGCAACACTATATGGTGCAACTGAGTAACATCCATCAAGCTAGCTAGCTTAAAAGATAGTACCGTAGATTAATTAAATAAAAAGCTTTCAAGGTTATGAGCTTTCCAAAGACAGTATGAGTCTGAGCCTACACCCAAACATTGGTGAGCCAGAGCAGAATTAACTCATTTCTGTTTTTCCAGTGCCCATGGCAGAACTCTGAGTAGCAGCATCTTTAAAATCTGGCAATGTTTTGGATCTAGATTTGCTTGCTGCAGCTTAAATCCGAGTCAGTGGGACAGCTGCAAAACAATGGTATATTACAAGAAAAAAAAAAAAAAGGAAACAAAAAGCAGCTTACTGGTTTTTAAATAGTCTCTTAAAAGAATTCTGTGCTGTATCTCCTACCCTGTGACATGTCATTTGCTTTTTTTTTTTTTTTTTTTTTTTTTTTT